TATTTTTTTCTATCAGACATTCTAATTCTTAATCTGGACCTTTTTTTTTTCTTTCATGCCACTGAGTTCTTCGTATGTCCAGAGAGCCTTGATTTTCCTCTCACAATTAAGAATGAAAATGGAATTATTTTAGGTAGCTTGTATCAGTTTCCTCTGCTGTTGAGTTTCCTGCCTCATCTCCCTCTTGTGTGGTAAGGCTGATTGAAAGTTCTGCTGACAAGGAAGCATTTATTGATTGATTTAATTCTCTCTGGATTAGAGACCAAGATTTTAAGAGTTAAGATAGGGGCATCCAATTACCAGAATGAGTTATATTTTGGTGAATCCAAACCACAATCAGTTGCTTTCATTTTACCCTTGCAGCTCATTATTTTATTCAGCTAAATGATTTTCATTTTATTGTATTTTGGCCAGGGGTTAATGCCAAGCTGTCTAATTCACATAAAAGTGGGAGAAACTTGCATGAAGAGACTTTCAGTGAACTTCATGCTATTATCTCCTGTTTTCACTCCTACCTTCCATGGTACCCTTTCCATAGTACCAACTCTGAACATGGGGCCTCTCTTTGGTAGGTTGATAAATCAGCTCCCACCTCCAGTGCAGTCCATTTCTAGTGCGATTGGGCTGTGGCACTTTCTGCTGTGTTCCTGCCTTTAACCTACTTCTGTCTACTTATTGCTGTTCAGAAAATTATTTCAATGTGCCTTTTTCAAGGTTTTCTAGATAAACAGAACCAGTGATATAAATGTAAGGTAGGGATAGTAGCAATGCCTTATGAACACATGGGATTGCTATTAGCATTAACTAAGGCAGGACATATCAAGTTTAGTTCCTGGAGACTAGTACCTGCTTGGAGCCCTGGTGGCGCAGTGGTTAAGAGCATGGCTGCTAACCAATAGGTCGGCAGTTTGAATGTACCAGCCGCTCCTTGGAAACCCTATGGGGCAGTTCTGCTCTGTCCTGTAGGGTCATTATGAGGCAGGTTATACATGCTTAATATTGTTATTAACAGTAACAACATTATTACTGATTGCATTCTTTAATTTTTTAAATAAATGGTATAATATTAGATTTAATTTTTTAATT